CCAAGTCATCGGCGGCGCCGCCGTCACTGAGGAGATCATCCCCGGCTTCAAGTTCACTCGCTGCAGCTACCTCTACGGCCTCTTCCGTCCCTCCATCGCCAGGTAGGGTCTGGTGCCTGCGTGGGTCCCGCATTCAACGAATTAATTGAACATTGATATAATGATTTGAATTTAGTTCAATTTTGTTACTAATTTGATTTGGTGAAGGGAACTGGAATTGACGAGACATGGATTGAAGTTGTTGAAGCCTTTGGCTTCATCGTTCACACCATGTCTTGATGGGCGTTATCTGCTCTTGGGCCTCAACCAGGAACAAGACCACTTGGAAATTTCGAAGTTCTCAAAACGAGATGCAGATGCTTATACAAGGTCAAATTTTTCTTCATTCAATCATATGATCAATTTATGTTTAACTTCATTAAAAAAAAATTGTAAATCAATCTACTGTTTTGGTTAATAGCTACGAAAATCAGCTGCATAGGTTCCAAAAATTTGTGGATTTTGTTTTGGATTCACGTACCCCTGAAAGTTTCCCCTGGGAACATTCCTCTATCTATGATGGCCTCCGGAATAAGTGGCACAAATCAGCTTTTTGGGCCCGTTGTCTGCAACAAGTTCTGTCTTTAGGCCAAAAAGATATGGTGTAAGTATGAGTATCTGACTATCAATGGAATTTCCCAACAAGTCACTTCCTTTTAATGCTTTTAAAAATTGGCAGGGAATTTGTGGATCTTTTGTTGTCCCCAACTTCAAAGTATCTGAATAAGCGGTTTGAGGTTGCCTTTGAGCTGTTCATTTGTGGTTTTCATATTTTCCATATGACTGTCACAAGTGCATCTTGATTTAAAGAGAGATGTTAGTCATTTGAGCAAAGAATCTTACTTTCACAACCCAATGATGTAATGCAGTCAGATATACTCAAGGGAACACTTGCAGTAGAAGCTATCGTTGGAAGTATGGTAGGACTTTTATACTTTGATAATGTATAGAAGGATACTATCTTTGGAAGCATGATGGAGTATGATAATAATAACAAAATTTCCTACTTTGATAATGTGGAGTTGGAATTTATATAGCATCTTGGAGGACAGACCAGAATTGTTATTGGAACTTCTTCTCTCCCCTTCCTCACCTTCATACAAACAAATTGTTATTAGAATTTTTGAGTAACCATATTTGTCACTCCTTTACTTTCATGAAGTGCAACCAAACTAGTGGTTCAGATCTATTATGAAAATTTTAATGATGCTCTGCTAGTTTTTAGCATTATCAACTGACTTTCTCTATTTCATTTTGTAGGTAAGTATCCATAATTCTGGGAGTGGATACGTTCTGCTACATCATGTCATGGGTGAAGTTGATGGTGATCGTAATATTTGGTCGTAAGTACCTCATATGTGAAGTTTATGAGTAGGATAATTGTTAATTGTATATCAGAATAATGTGTATTTATGCTTCCAATAATGGTCGTTGAATCTATTTGATAATAAATGAGCTGCATTCTTTGTAGGCATGTTGAAGGCGGGATGGGTTCTGTATCATTGGCCATAAGTAATGCTGCTAAAGAAGCTGGGGTTCATATTGTTACCAATGCAGAGGTATTTGAGCTCTTGAAGTATGGCTTCCAGTAGTGTG